TGAGATATCAAAGAGATTGTCCGATGATTTTCGTATTCTGTTGGGTCACCTCTCTTTGGAATGGGCACAAATATTGATTTCTTCCAATCAGTCGTCCAGATAGTTTTATATATAAAGTAGTGAAAATCATGTGTTTATTTGTATTTGGAGCTCTACTTAATTTTTTTCTTAATTTACCTTGTGACCTGCTCAAACTTCGTTGATTTTAGATCCTTCAGGGGGTCTTATCTCTGGAGATTAGAGCTTGGACTCTAATGTTCCAATGGTTGAGTCACATTTGCTTTGGGTAAAAAAGGCCTTCTAGACTATTCAGTGGAGCAGCTTCTTCATCTGCAAAAAAATAAAAGGAATAGTTGTGGGCAACTTCTTCAGAAAAGACAGTGGAGGGTGATAAATCTCAGTAGAGGGCTCCGTACTCCCTTAGGAACAACAACATCTGAAATGCCATCCAATTTTATAAAGTATACTTTGATAACATATTTCTGGGGAAAGAATCCTCAGGATTCCAGTTTATGAGCTACTTCTGAGTCTGTGTTTTTCAACAATGCCATCATTCCAGGGAAGAGGGCTGGTTGTTGCTGTTGTAGGCAAACTGCATGTTGTGAGTACAGCGGAGACCTTGACAGGAGACAGGGACTCATAAATAGGGTTCAGGCATGTATTATTATAGGATTTTCTAAAGGAAAGGAGGTGACTGAGTTGAAAGCAAGACTGTCACCTCATTTGTGTCCCCCAAAGGCCTTAGTTGAGGGGATGTGATAATTTCTATTACAAGGCCTGTCATCTGAGCACACACAGTAAAGTTGGTGTCGAGTCCACAAAAGACTAGTAATCTTTCTCAAGGAATTACTAGGCCTGTCCTATTATAAGCTTCTATCCCTGCCAGAGAATCTCTTTAGGCTTAGCTATCTCTACTCAATCCGAGGAACAGCAGCTCCCACTCAAGAGGCTCTAAACAGTGCATCACAGATGAAATGGCAGCTGCCCTAGAAGGAGTAGGCTTTATAGCTTGGTTCCACGTCACTTTTCCATTAGAGGTCTGCTCAAGAGACAGAATAGGTCAGGCTACAAGGTCAAGAATA